GTGGAACTGCCAACCCCACCCCACCCCCGAGAGTAGAAAGCCTCCTCTTTCTCCCTGGGAGCGGCTGGTGGGTTCGAACTGCTGAACCTGAGAGTCAGCAGCCCAAGTCACGGCAAAGAACTCATGGCATAACATTCACCATCTTGCAGGTGGAGTCACGATGGCGCCCAGAATTGGGAGCGTGCACGCAGACCCCACCACGGCGCACCAAACCAGGAGGGCAATGTAGCCACGTGGAGGACTGCACGAAAAGATTGGGCTACGGGTCAGCCCCAACCAGAGCCAATCTGACCCCTGCTCTGGAAGTCGGTGCGACAGAGAGCCACACTAACCCTTCGGGTGGGGAAAGAGCCGACTCACCACGCCCACGAGGAAGCAAACCCAGAAGGAAAAGGCGAAAGGGACAGTCGGCCTAGGCTCCACCTGGCTCAGCACGCCGGAGGATGAGGTCCTTCCGCGGAGCTGCTGAGGCACAGGGCGAACTGTGGGACCAGCAACAGCTCAAGACAGTGGTCCCCTAAGGAGTGTACTGCAACAGAGGGCAGTGACGTGACGGGGGGACACACGGCGGGGACATCACGTGGGCTGAATCCCCCGGAGCGGGACCAACCAGAAGGAAGCTTAACAGATCAGCAATTGGAGCAAAGCCAATCCACGAAGCCCCGAAGGAGCCCCAAAATGGACTTTGGGCTAGGAGGGGCAACCCCCGAAACTCCCCCAGACCAGGGGAGAGACTTACAAAGGCCAGCGGACAGGCCTGGAATACTGCATGGTTTTTCTTTTTCTTTTTTCTCTCCTTTTCTCTCTTCAACTTTTGTTTTCTTACTGTTTGGACTGGGGCATTGCTGCTTTACCTACTCACACAAGACAGACATGGGAAGCAAGATCAGGGAGAAAGCAACGGGGCCAACGACCCCAGAGGGTCTTGGGGGGAGAACGTGGGGGTGAGCAAACAACGCCGCAGCCAGGGGAACAACCAGGGAATTAGAACCAGCATCTAGGAGTCTGTAGCGATCCTGTGGGTATTAGAGCCACAGCAATCTAGCTGAGGTGGAAGAAGGGGGAACGTGATGGGGGGGCAGGAGGAGGCAGAAGGAAACAGAGGAAAGCTCCAGGAAGCAAAGCTGTGGACAGAGGTATTAACAGAGGTGTGTACTTGTGCAAAGACATGAGTCCATAAAAATAGAGGTATTGGCCTATGGACACGTATGTATAAGGCAATGCACTGAGGCTGCGGACGGGCCTTGGGGCTCAGCTCATACCCTCCCTCAACACAAGCACACTTTGTTCTAACAAAATGGCATTTTGTTATGCTCTCCCCCTCCCCCCCCCCCGCCCCCCAATCCCTGAAGACAAAATGGGTGCATAAGCCGAAGTGGTGAAGACAGCGGATGGTGCCCGCTATTAAAAGATATCGCATCTGGGGTCTTAAAGGCTTGAAGTTAAACAAGCGGCCATCCAACAGTGAAGCAACAAAGCCCACATGGAAGAAGCACACCAGCCTGTGTGATCATGAGGTGTCCATGGGATCAGGTATCAGGCATCTAAGACTCAGATTAAAACCATAACCAATGTGAATGAGGAAGAGTATAGAGCGGACACCCAAAGCCCATCTATGGACATTGTAACATCCCTTCACAGAGGGGTCACAGAGAGGGGATGAGTCAATCAGGGTGCAGTAGAGCACCGATGGATCATGCAATCTATCTCTGGTCCCTTGAGACCTCCTCACCCCCCACTCTCATGACCCCAGTGCTACTTTCCATTCTGGACTGGACCAGAGCATGGACATAGGTACAGGCAAGAGATAAAGGTCAGGACACATGGAATCCAGGAACAGGAACAGGAACAGTGATACCAAAAGGGTAGGGGGAGGGGGGAGAGCAAGAGAGGGGAGGAAGGGGATAGGGATCGCAATGACTGGCGCACAACCACACACACTCCTCCAGGGGGAAGAACAACAGAAACCAGGGGGGAAAGGAGACGGCTGTCGGTGTGAGAGAGGAAAACAATAATCTATCAAGGGGTCACGAGGATGGGAGGAAGGAGGAGGGAGGAGGGAAGGGAAAAACAAGGAGCTGATCCCAAGGGCTCAATAGAAAGCAAATGTCCAGAAAAGAACGATGGCAATCTATGTACAAATACATCAGATACAATTGATGTATGGATTGTAACAAGAGTTGTAAGAGCCCCCAATAAAATGATCTCAAAAAAAATTCACCATCCTAACCATTTAGAAATGTACGGTTCCATGGCGTGCCTGACCCAAGCCCCGTTCTTTCAATCACCCCAAATGCACATGACAAAGCAGACCGTGAGGAAGGAAGACTGCGGAAGAATGGATGGATGTGGATAGTGGAACTGGCCGGCATAGTGGAAGGCCCGTGGATTGCAGGGAGAAGGGAAAGGAGCCTGTCTTGGAAGTACGGCCAGAATGCTCCTTAGATGCCGGGTGGCAAGACGTGCACATACTTAAGCAGTATCCACAGGAGGGGCCAGGCGCTGGAGCAGGACATCATGCTTGGTAAAGTGCAGTAGATCCCGGGACTGGACCGCAGCATACTCGACATCATCGGATTTCAGCTCGAAATGTGGAGAAATGTTTGCGTTGGAGCGCAAGCAAAAAATCTGAATCTGACCCAAGGCCCGTGAATGCTGTCAACAGAAGCAGTCCGTGTTTCCGCCCCTCGGCGTTCCTTGGCATTGTTTAAACCTTTTGCAGCTGTGTTCCAAGCGTTCTGCTAAAATTTTCTTAGTTTTTGTTACTGTTTGTACTGTTTTTAGATGAAAAAAACATGGGTTCTAAGAAAGAGTTGCTTGAAAGGAATCATCATGGCAAGGAACTGGTTAACCGTGTTATGGACAATTTAGAGAACAGTTAAGGAAACGCCAACAGCAGGCCACATTAGACAGATTTTTCGTTTTAGAGAAAGCCAGCTAGGTCCTGGTGAAAAGAGGCAAACAAGGGGGGGAAACCTCCCGAAAAGCAGCTACCAGTGGATTTAAGGAAAGGGATCCCCTTTCCAAACAATGACTCTCCCCGTGCCTCCTCTCCACATCCTCGACCACAGACCCAGATCCCCATCAATCTCAAGGTTTGGGCCATCCTGTAGTTGTTAAAACACTTTTTAAGTGCTGTGTTTCTTATTTAAATTATATTAAGTCTGAACTTATTTGCTTTGACATTTCTGTGTAATGTTTTGTATAAAAAGGCAAGGTGAGGGTAAAAACTTGGTGGTCGAGAATGGATTCATCCGTGTTCAGTTATTTCTCATGGGAAAAATCGATTCGGAACTCGACTGCATCGCCTCGCGACACTCCTTCTAGAACAGATCAGCGTCGAGATTCTACCGCACAGCACCTTACTCTGTCCCCTTTAGGGAGGGCACCCTGGTCGCACGTTGGGTTAAGTGTTTGGGCTGCTAACTCCAAGGATGGCGCCTTCGAACCTGCCGCTCTGGGGGACAAAGACGAGGCTTTCTGCTCCCAAAGCTCACGGGGCAGTTCTGCCCTGTCCCACAGGGTCCCTGGGCGTTGGAGATGCCTCCATGGCAGTGGGGTGGGTTTGATGGTGGGTTGGGGGGGGGGCTGTATGTAGGCAGATCACCAGGATTGCTCTCCTCCTGTGGTACTCCTGGCCTAGTTCCCACCCCTGACCTTTCTGCAGGCGGCAGAGTGCTTTAAGCATCGCACCACCAGAGTTCCTGTCCATCAGCCAAACTCTCTCACTGCATAACTACAGTTGAACTGGCCCTATGGGTGTCTGAGATGCTACATTTTTACAGGAGTAGGCAGCCTCATCATTCTCCTGAGGAGCGGGCTGGTGGGTTCGAACCGGTGACCTTGCCGTTAGCAGTTCAGAGTGCAGACCAGGACGCCACATTGCAGGCAAGAAGACCCAATGGAGCCGAGTTCTACTCTGGGGCAGGTAGGAAGAGGTGGGACTGGGCTGAGTCAGAATGGAGTCCACCATAACATTGACCTGGCTGTTTTGCACCCACCCACCCCACAGTCGTGTACATCCCACCCCCCCATCACTGCCACATGGCAGATCCAGTGGTCACCTCTCTGTCCTCACCCTCCTCACACAACCCTTGTCCTCCCTTCTCTGCTTCTTCCACCTAGTGTCAAGGGCACACCCCAACTTCTCTGTGACACCCCCCACCCCAATCTGGTACCTCCCCTCTTAACGCCTCACACTTTGTCTCTTCTCTGTTTCTTCTGGATGGAACTGCCTCTCCCCCATCCGGCCACCCACCCAAAATATGACTAATTGAAAAAGACAAACCACGTGTTGTAAATGCTCACCTCTGGCTGTGGTCAGAATCCCATTTGGGAGTGGGTTGTTGTGTAGTGAAGACCCTATTATGCTTCCTTAATATGAGGGATATAAAAAAAATCTACGGAAAAAGCTCCACTAGGCTGGGTGAGCATTGAGCAACTCTGTTAGTGCACCCAGTGGCATTGCCTGGGAAGGTGATGCGAGGGAGGGAAAAAGAGGAGCTGATACCAAGGGCTCAAGTAGAAAGGGAATGATGATGATGATGGCAACTTATGTACAAATGTGCTTGATACAATTGATGTATGTATTGTTATAAGAGCCCCCGGTACAATGATTTTTTAATATGGGGAGATAAAAAACATTACAGTCACAGAAACTCACAGGGGCAGCTCTGCTCTGTCCTATAGGGTCGCTGTGAGTCGGAACTGACTCGATGGCAGTGAGGTGAGGCTTTGTTTTGAGGTTACTTCCACTAAATGACTTTTTCCTCGTGAGTCTGGGATCAGGGAAGGTGGGGGAAGATCCGGATTGGGCTCTGATTCAGCCATGAGTGAATAGTGGTTGTAATTGTGATTGTAAGCACTTGGGATCGAACTAGGGGATTCGTGAAGTTTTGTCATCTTGCTGAGTTTTAAAGGAGCCATCTCAGAAGCAGGAGGCGGGGAATCCTGATGCCAGAAAGGAGTGGAGTGTGTCCTTTGGACCCTGAGATACCTGTATACTGAGCCCCTTCCATCGGGGAGACAGGGATGCTGAGGCCAGCAGCAGAACCAGGAGCCAGAGCATGAGACAGGGCAGTGGACTTCCCAGCTCACAGAGCAAGTGAAGCGGAATGCCCTTGGGCAGGATGCTGGCTTGTGAAGTGGGCCGTCTCCTGGAACTCAACTGGGGGAACTAGGTTTGCTGACCTGTGGAACTAGAGCTGGGTGCTTTAGGGACTGAGGCTTATGGCAGAGTAGTATGCCCTCTGGACATTTATTGGCAGCTCTAAAAGAGCTTTGCTTTATAATATTGCCCGAGCAGGGCAGAGGCCAGGCCAAGAGGTTGTGAGCCAGAGAGAGGCTTGTCTGTTTCTCGGCAGATGAAAAGATGTCTTAAATAAACAGCGGTGTCCCCAGCATTTCTGAGCCTGAGTGGTAACCTGTTCACTTCTCTCATTAACCAAGCAAGCTCATTGCTGCTCCAGTGGGTCCTGGTGGG